GGAGGGTGTCCAATACCCTTGGAAGTGGATGCCAGTTGATTCATAACAATGAAAATAGACTTGAAAAAATATCAATTTCTTCATCGACTTATCCAGATTCTGAATATATTCAGATACATCCACAGCTGCAAGAATTAAATGGACTTCAAGCAACAGCTTCCGGTTCAATGCCAAATTCGCAAACGGTTATTGGGAGGTCACATTTGGAAAATGCATTGAAGTTGCCCCCCAACGCATGTGCGGCAACTTATTATCAGCAAACAAAAGTTCCAACCTCTTCTTCTGTTATTTCTGATTCTATTTGTCATAACAGCGATAGTAATTTCATTGAACATTCCAGTAGTCGCTCAAATGTACGCACGATTACCAACATGATCGGAACGCCTCACCTTTCTGCAAAAATTGTACCTGTTGAATCGTTATCAAATATTTCTATTGGGGAAGATGTACTAAACAATACTTCTGGTAATTCTGGGAAATTTTCAGAAACAACGTGCCTTTTGACTACTACTAATACTGATATAGAGAATGAGAGATCCTCTCCACATTCTTGCTCTTCAAATCTTCCATCATCTTCGTCAGCCGGCGAAACAGCCCATCGTAGTGTTATATATATAAATAAAACAACATGCAATATTAGTAGCAACACAGTTGTCGTCCAAGGATCCCATTTAACACAAAATAGACAACAAAACGATGCTCATGAATCATACTTTTCACATAGTAATAGAAATTCGGAAGTTCAAGCTGCAAGTTCAACAGGTGTGGCTCGTTGCACAGCCCATTTTGACAATTATTCTCGAAATGCCTCTTATTCGCCTAATAATTCCGATATGATGCTTAATTATTCACACCCTCTTAAAATATCTGGTAATAAAATCAGTGGTACGGAAACGAATTCCAGACCTCAAACTCCAGAATACATAAAATCTTATCCTGTCATGGATACTACGGTAGCTAGTTCAATAAAAGGAGAACCAGAGTTGAATATTGGTAAATATACATTTCATATAAAGATTTTTTCTTGATCAAATATATGTACAAATATTACTAGCTTAAGGCTTTCGTGAACATCACATAAAGAAATGTAAAGTTATGGAAATGTATACGTTTTTATTTAATTTGCTTGCAGAAGTTTAAATTCATATGTGTTATTACAAAAACAGTTCTATAAGACTTCCACTCCAAAATTAATTTCCAGTTGAGTGAACAAAAACATAAAAGAGCAACAAATGATTAAATGTTGAATTTTGTAAATTCAGAATGTATTGACGATATTTTCGGAAATTTGATTTCAGAAACTTTCCTTTTAAAACTCAGCTCGGTCACCCTTTTAATGCATATTACTTCCAAAGAGGATGTGTAAAATCAAACAGATGTTCACAAAATTTTTTTTTAAATTTCAATCAAACTTGAATTGTATAATTTTTTCGTAAGTTTTTTGACTTTTTGAACGGAAGTTTTATTAATAATTGTCAGTTTAACCGGTTTTAATGAAACATAAATATACGAATACATGTGTTTATATTAAATTTTGACAGTTGAGATGACTAAGTTCGGTTAAATCGAGAATGTTAATATTTATAGTTGCTGCTTAGGTATGAATGAAAATGCCCATATAAATATGTATATGTATGTACAAGTGTATGCATACATTGTAACATTAGCGCTTTATTTTTCGACATTCTCTACTAAAGGCGAGATGGGTAATTTCTGCGGTTATGATGGCTAGGAGTTGGACAAGGGTAGTAAGTAGCAATTACTACCAACCACTTGACTATATGTATATATGTACATGCATATGTATGCATTAAGGCACATACTGACATAGGCGTCAATTTTGAAACAGAATAGCCACATAAAAATATAAATTAACCAAAAACTTTTGTACACGTAATATTGGTGAGATATTTCTTTATATGCCATTACGAAAGTAATTAGTGAAAAATATAACCTAAGGAAGCTAGTTTAGTACTCAAGGTGTACTATTAATTTTTGCTCTTCGATATATTCAGATGCATGTGCATACATATTTATATTCATGCATGCATACATATATAATATATGTAAAGAAATAAACTTGTACATCGACTAACTGACAAGAGCAAGACCACTATCCGCCTGCTCGTTCATTGAACCACTCAACGAGTCGCTAAGTTGTCCATCGGGTTCATTGCTTTCCTTTTATATACATATACATATGTATATATACGTGCATTGTTGTGCGACTATGGTAAGTGCAACAGAAAGTCAGAGAGAAGTGCGTTGCACTTGAATACTCGTACTAAACTGGGCTGTCGTTTTTTGACTAATATCAATATCACAAAGCCATGCATATGCACATACATATATACATAAATACACATGTATGTACGTAAATTAACCTTTAAAACCTCATTCAAGTTGAAAGTGAAACCTACAAAGCTACTATATCAAGTAAATATTAGCTGTTCTGACCGTAACCGCTGAGAATAGTTTACACTTTATTTCGTTACATCTTCCTCAATTTCTTCAAAAGGAGCAGATTTTCATAAGTATTATATTTATACCTATTGTTTCACTTCAATCTTTAGAACCGTTTAGATGCCAAAAATATAATGTGCTCGATATTTATTTATTTATTTATTAATTGTATCCCGTAACTTTCTTATAATTACTATAAATTCGTATTCGTGAAATTTCGAATCAAGTAATGTATGATATAAAATATTTGAGTATAATTTCATTAAACTTACTACCTTCTACAGATCTCGTTTCATATTACGCAAATTCATACTTTTAATCTCGTATATTAGCTAGTAAATACATCCAGATAAATGTATTATATTTATACACATACAAAAGCAAGACTAAAATATTTTTGAGCTTGCACAGTATTAATTTAAGTTTGTTACTTCGATATTCGTATGGCGTCTTACTATTGTCATCAAAGGTGAATGCACATTATAATTGGAGAAAGTGCTTGCAGTCTTGGCTGCAACTCAATGGAGGTGGTTGCTATTTCATCGATTTTCCCTTTCTGTAGTCATTTACTTTTTGTGAAAGTATGTGTTTAAGTTTTCCCAAATGTGTACGTTTCATTGCTGTCGGTGTCCAATGAAAGTTTTATTGTAGAGACATTTGAAAGTATGCATTTACAAATTTTGTAAAAAATTTCAAATGATTTTTTTCAAGCTAATTGGTTCATAAAAATCAAAACTCTTTAACTTCATGCATTTACTCCTCATCCAAGTATGAACATTGGTTATGAAAGTAGTGATATCATAATTTTCTAATTCTGAATTATGTTATATGTACATATGTGCGTATAAAAAAAATTTGCTTGCCATGGTCGACGACATATAAGAGTCAATGTACATTTAACCTCGAGTTCTCATTTAACTTTAATTGGCCTTAAAAAGGTTTGTGAACTTGCAAAAATCTTAATGAAAAGGAAATAAAAATTAAGTATATTTATGTACATATACATATGTATATATACAAATACGTATACATGTGTATATTTAGAACGATTAACTGAAAAAGCGAAAAAGGTTCCGTAAATGTCTGGTCAATAATATGTATAGAATGTATATACATATGTATGTAGGAGTACAATACATTGGTATCTGGGTAGCATTAATTTGTGTTTGATTTTTATCAGACAATCCTCATTATAAATATATTGGTGATTGAATGACAATTGAACCTACATATGCATATGATATTCACATACACGTACATCAAACCCATCTACCTACATGTGAGTATGTATTTACCATTTGCACACTTGCACACTTATCTCTCGAATGGCGGTGTTAAAAATCTTTCACAGTAACCTAGCTACAATCACCAAGGTCAATGGTTTTTATTTATTTCCGTGTTATTGCCCCTATATTTACATTTTAAGGCGAATATGAGAACAAGCAAATATTGGTGAGTACGTTTTGATTTTGTTAGTACGCTATGACTTTGGTTTTATTTCCTATCCATTGCGAATAAGCTAACAAAGTATGTATTATATGTAACCATTTGCGGATGTAGGCTTTATTACTCATTTATATTCAACTGTGCTGTGGAGACGGGTATACGGTTGTAGATGCATTCAATATATTGTAGTATACAGAAATGTATAGTATTCAACCAAATTATTTGAAAGCAAAATTATACGGCATTATTAAAAGCAGCGATAGGCTCGGGCTTATGAGCTGATGTAAAAATGGGCTCCGTTTGAACTTGGACTTTTGGTCTATAATAAACCATGTTCTTTATTAATAAATATTTTTTACTTAAATCCTGTAAATATTTCAAAGGAATCACATGTGGTATTATTGTACTCTCCACTATACATATATAGTGCATACATACATATGCATATATATAAAAAAATATGTACCAAGCATGCCCATATACATACATACATATATGTAGCACAGTGCTCGAACATTATTTCAAGTTCAAGGCAACAATGTGTTCCGAGTGCTTCAAGTTACTGGTGTTCGACTATTGTGTGTATAAAACTAGATTGACGACTTTCTTCACCACTTCTCAATTTCTTACATTTTTCGTACGAGCCTAAATGTATATGTATGTATATTTACGAATACGTATAGAAACGTATTGGTACATTTTTATAAATACATACATATGCATGTACAGACAATGACATTCTATGAAGTGAGTGGAATTTAAAGAGCCAACTGTTACAAAATAACGATCGTTCTTGACATCTTCAATGTATATACATACGATCTAGAAGTAGGTAATGCCTGCGCGAATTAGGTACTTCATTCCTGGGAAGGTTTTTTGAATATATGTATGTTCATATGGTATTACTTAATAAAAATATTTCCAATGTTTATTTAGATATGTACCTTTATATAAATGTACTGCCATATATTTTATTTTTTTATTTGTATTTAGAAATAAATTTCTTATATTCATAATATGTGCATATGTATGTATTTATACTTCAATCAATAATTATAAATATTTACCATTATTATATTTTTCATTCGCAGAATTCGATGGAACTACCGTACTATGCCGCGTCTGCGGGGATAAAGCATCTGGCTTTCATTATGGTGTCCACTCCTGTGAAGGATGTAAAGTAAGTAAACATACGATTAAATGTACATATATTATTTTAAACAACCAAATCATGAGGATATAACTTATGATTAATTGTACTCGCCCAAACATCGATTCTTAAGATCAAGGTTAAACAATACTTCTTCCAGCAAACATATAAACGTATGTGTGTAGATATATATATGTATATATGTGTACTTACATATATCTATGTATATACATATATCCTTGCGAGGCTTGGAAAACATTGTTTTCAGATTTATCCCACCCGCAAGTCTCTTTATTATTCACGACATGCGTGCATTAATCAGACTTATAATGCGACCAATGGAACAATTTACATTTCGTAGCACATCACTTTGGCAAAATAGAATATGATGAAATGTGTCATGGGTAGTAGAAAATAAAAACTATGTAATATGAAGAGAATCCTAATCTCAAGAACTAGTATCTCTCCCAACAAGAATATATATCAATATATTTTGAGTACACATACACGTATGCGGAAATTAGTGCTTCTGTATTACTATTCATATACTATTACTAATATTCTTTTATCGTATTGGAACATTCACGCTTTGTTTTAGAGCTAAATTAGATTTATGAAACTCAAAACAGGATTATTTTTAGAATATGTGCACAAAGTATAAATTATCTTAGTGTAGGTAGTGATGCGAAAAATATATTATTTATGTATGTTTCTTCATTATGTTATAAGTTTTAAAATCATATCTTCTTATGATTGACTGAATCTATAGGAATAATTTTAGTAATACAATCGGAGGTTTTAATGTTTTTTTGTATTCCCAATTTTTGTTTTTATAATTTTTCTTGTTATTCCCTGCTGCCCGTCTGATATAATTCACAGCTACACACTTCTGCGAGGGGAAATCGTTTCCAGAACCAAAAATAATTTCTTTATATAAACATAGTCATTTTTATTGTTATAGCTTTACCTGTAGTTTTAAATTTAATTAGTTCAATTCTTGTGCTTTGTAATATTACTTCATACATATATATGTGCGTATGTAGTACAACCATACTTATTTTACTTCTGCTATAATACGCATCATTTATTCAGATACTAGAGTACATAAATACATACGAATTTATCTGTACAAATGTTTTTCCCTTTTCTTCATTTTGTCTCTACCAACCGATTTTGTCAGCTTTGCCCCAGCGAGCGTGGCGGTAATTGACCAGGCTTGGTGTTAATGAACTCATTCAATGTCAACTTTTTGTTGTGTATTTGTATCACAATACTAGTAAATAAAGAGATTTTAGAGAATAGTGGAGGTAATGGTATTAGTGAATACTAAAGAGCGGAAGTTTTAGAGAGAAAATATGTATTATGAAATAGTGCGCTCTGGAGCAAGCTGTACTCTTTCTCATTGAAATAAGCAGTCGCAAAGTAAGTTGCGTGACAGTGTTGCCATGAAAGTTTTTCCAGGCCTAATTGCTTCTCTTTTATAGGACTAGGATTTATCTTTTGGTTTCTAATTTTTCAATTTGCATAACTACGAACATCTCTTTTTAAATATTTATCCCTTGTAAAACGTTATAATATTATTATTCCTTTACTACTTTTATTATTATTAATATTGATATTATTATTCGTAATATATTATAAAATATATTTATTATTCTTAATATAATGTGTTTTCAATATTAAGTTTGCTAATATTACCATTAATAATAATATTGCGGTTATTATTATTTATATATATGTTATTAGTATTATTATTATTATTATTTGAATTATCATTTTTAATACTATTAGCATTTATTGTAAATACATATATCATAATACAAACAACCATACATACATACATATATACATATTTACTTATGTGTGTGCTCCGCTTTTATTAGGTTTATGTACTGTTCACTAAGCAAACTGAAGTACGTCTTTGGATGTGTGTACAAAATTTTTTTTATTTAAATAAAAACATACATGCATATGTAAGTTTTTGCTGATACATATTCATATATGTATACTTATGTGTATGTAGCTATGTACATATGCATGCATACGAGTAAGTATGAACATAGATATTTGTGCGCTTTTACAAGGCATACGAAGTTCGCAGCCCTGTAGCTACAAAGCAGTTCAATGCACTTACCGATTTGTGTCATCAACCTCTTGCATTTATTTAGGTTAGACACAGTGTGGCGTGAAATTATCTTCAATTCAACAAATTTTCTCTCTGGAGAACGATTGCAATTGGTATTGTGAGTAGCGAATGTGAGTGCACAAATTCAAAGGGAGAAAACTTAGAGTTGAAATAATTGAGCCAAATTTTATGAAGCTTTCCTTACATGTGTGAGAAATTGAGTACACTAACCCATGTACACAAATGTAGGATTGATGCTTGTGGCATGAAATCACTGAAGAGGCGTATTATGAAGAGAACCTGTTCGTACGTCGTATATAGATATGTACCATGCATCTAAAATCATAATAAACCACTTGCACAGCTCTCATTTATTTCTAAAGTTATTGTATCTTTGCATATATTTAGGAGCAAGTATTGCTTCCATTTAACATTTGCAAATAGTTTTTATTACGCGAGTCTCCCTGAAGTATGCTTTAAAACGTACATCTATATTTTGGCACAAGCACTGTTTTCTTAAGACAAAAGTGACGCAACTGAAACTTTAAAAAATCGTATTTTTTCAGAAACCAGTTCACAAATTTTATCTCTAATGAATCAAAAATTATTTTCTTTAGTTTTTGAAAATGATATTTTTAGTTAAAAATTCGTTTTAGCACTGCTGTTACGAGAAACATAACCTAAGGTATTTTATTATTTGCTTCTTCGCATTTAAAAATCTCGTATATACCGCCGAAGCTGGCGGTGAAAGCCTTTAGTTTATTTATTATATAGAACTTTCTTTACCTGCCAAAAAAAAAAAAAAAAAACAAAGCAAATGTTAATATTATTACTCCGCTGTACAAGAGACAGACTTTTATTATTTCCAGGAATTTTAAGATATACAATTTTTTTGAAGAGATTGCTTTACCGAGATTAGTAAGGTTTAGAAAATCCAACCTATATTGTATGCTCATAGATATTTTCAGGATAAGCCAGCTGTTAGGTAGTTAGTAGTTAGTACTTTTAGTGGAGCTCTTCTTTATAAAACTAAAAAAACAGTCAGTTAAACTACTTTTGGCTATCATATGAGTATTTTGCTGTCAAAGGATTTGAGTATTGAAATTCACTTTCCTTAAAATTTTGTATGCTACGTATGACTGCCCTTGCATATCTGGTTACGTTAGCCGACACCTGGAAAATTGTACTGAAGTTAAAATCAACTTCGAATGATTTTAATTGGTGCATTTGGCATTATCAAACCGAATTATCATATTGTGAAGAGGTAACTTATTCAGAAGGATGCTCAATACAACGATGTCGCTATGCCTTTTAAACAACATATGGACGTGTGTGTTTTATTTTTAGTGTTAGTCATACATTGTCGGCCTCAACAACCGCGCTTTCTCCAGGCTTGATAAAGAAGCGAAGCGAATGTGTCTGGTAGTGAACGACGAGGACAAGACGAAATATCTCCTGCCATCAAACAAACAGTCATCGCATTCGCGACTTGGCTCCCACGTCACTGTTGACAGTCATAACTTTGCAGTCGTAGATAATTTCGTCTATCTAGGAACCAGTATCAACACCAAAAATAATGTCAGCCTTGAAATCCAACGCACTGCTAGGTCATGTTGTTCGAGTGGATGAAAGCACTCCAATATTGAAAGTATTCGAAGGCAGTACCCGCCGGTGGAAGCAAAGGAAGAGGAAGACCTCCCCTTCGTTGGAAGGATCAAGTGGAGAGGGTCCTCACTTGGTATTTATACTGGCGCCAAACAGCGCAAAACAGGGATGAATGGCGCGCTACAATTAATTCGTATATATATGTTGTTGTTGTTGCGGGAGTGACAGTCCTTGCCCGTATAAATATCCGGGTCGTTCCGGTATAAAGACCCGACTGTCGCGGGAACTATTGGATTTCAGTCGTTTCTTACGATAGTTATTTAGAGTTGATTTAAATTCTAACTTATTAAAATAACTAATAAAAAATACATATCACCAAATATTCAAAATATGTGTACATGTATTTTAAATGTGGTAAAATAAATGTAAAATATGACCTTGGTCGTTGCTTATAAGAAATGCAAATAACTTTCCAATATGTGAACCAATATATTGTTTTAAGGCATAATTGCGGTAAATTCAAAATACACATAATATCACTTTGCAGCATTACCTGCTTGGATATACAATAATTAGTTTGTTGATAGGACATAATCGAAAACGAGTCGCACATTTCAAACCATAATCTAGAAAAAACGCGAAGTTTATGATTTAGCTGCACTTACACTCCACACATAGCTCGAATATATGAACATATGTACATAGAATTAATATGAAGGCATATTGGGATGTATATGGGTACCTATTATAATATACACATGTATGTATATATATCTACTAAGTATACATTTACACCTGAATATACATTCATTCGTACATTCGAAGTGTTACCTAGTTTATATTTTAATATTCGTTGCTTAATAACTGAAAACTATGTATCTCAAATTCTCTTGTTCCTACCTATGTTTACACATATATGAATGTACATATGTATATGTTCCTTCCACTTACTCAAGCGGGTTGCATATTGTTGCAGTACGAGAGAGTCATTGCACTATGCGGTACTTTCGGTGGAACTGGAATATAAAGCTTGAGACTTAATAGCATTCGCTATTAGTAGTCGCAATGCCGTCAATGTCGTGGTGCGACTTACTACACATATATAAACTTTTCAGTCAAATAACCAATGACGGTGGGAGGGGTCAATGACATTTTGTTGCTGACTTTTTCAGCTGATATTTTCACAAATTTGTTGTCACCAGTCTAGTACTCCTATACACGAATATCACGCCCGTGAGCACCATTTGAGCCATGCACCAATGGTGTCTACATTACTGTAGGTTAGTTATAGGTATGTTAT